ACCCCAGAGGCCAATGGACATGCCTACCCTAAACCCTAAACCGTGCCTACTTACGGAACCCATGGCTTTCAAAGCCCTCGTGACGGCCTTTGCCGAGGCTTGGGCCCCTTAGCCAGCTGCAGAAGATCCACTACCTCTGTGATCCAAGGTGTTTAGGGTTTAGGGTTTAGGGTTTAGGGTTTAGGGTTTAGGGTTTAGGGTTTAGGGTTTAGGGTTTAGGGTTTAGGCAAGGTGGAACTGGGGTTGTAGGTGTTCCTCAGGGGTTTACAGGGAAGGTTTTTTGTGTGGTGTTTGGCTCAGTGGGTCATTGTGATGAGGTCAGAGTGATGTTGCAGTTTCGCATATTATAATCGTCGTTTTTATGGCATTGATAATGATATCGTTGTCTTTTGGGGCTATGGCGGGGTTACTGATAATACCCTCCTATACTTTACCCCCGCGTGCCACACGCACTCGCTCACTCACTCACTCACTGACGAGTTCACCTCTACCGACCGAAGATTCCAGCTTGGCGAGCCTTGCAGATACGGGCATGCTCTGAATCTAGTCAGTTAGTTGAAGGAGCGGCTTCCAGCATATTGTCAAGCCACGTGCCAGGACGTCTGGTGTGGTTCCTTCGGAACTTTACCAGTAAACCCTAAACCCTAAACCCTAAACCGAAACCGGGTCCAAGATGCACAGCGCATGCAACGCAGACAGCTCACTTGACAGGCGCAGCATCGCCGACTTCTACCTCCCGGGTGACCAGCGTGGCCCTGCAGGCCGCAGTGTGCCGCGTTGTTAGGCCCCGCAATGGAAGCCCAGAGAGCCCAAGACCCCTGAATTAAGGAACATGATATACCTTAATGAATTAAGGAATATTATATATATATATATATATACACCTTAAATCATAATATTAAGGCCCCTTATAGCTTAAGGGCTATTCCTTATTTAAGGGGTATTGGGCTCTCTGGGGACGTGTTTTGCCCGTCTCCTCCGCTGCAGGCGTCTGCAAGGAAAGGCGCACCGGCTCCCGACTCAGCGCTGTTTGCTGCGAGTCAATGGCAGCGTCCCTGCGCGTTGGGTCACGTGATGTATTTAAAGGGTCATGGGACTTAGTAGCTAAGGTTATTATTAGGGTAACTAGAGCTATAACTACTTATAATTAACCCCAATAAAGGTACTTATAATCGTACTTAGTGAGCATGATGATGTTTTGTCAAGTATGTGATGTAACGTGTGCGACGTGTGCCAGGCGAGGAGCCGGACGCGACCACCTGGCCTGGACCTGAGATGGAAGAGGGTCCAAGTTGATCATCCTATGCTTGGAGGATCATGGGACTTAGTAAGTATGGTTATAAGTACCCTAATTGGGGCTATAAGTAGTTATAACTATAGTTACCCTAATAATAACCTTAGTTACTAAGTCCCATGATCCTTTAAGTATGGGGACTCTCATTCTCAGAAGTGCTATTCTTGGAGGTAGCATCGTTACCCTTGCTGCAACGGAGAAGCGAGCAGGAAGGGCAAGTCTCGAGCAGATACGGAAAGCAGAAAGACATGGCGGAAGAGGTGTTAAGCGTCTGGTCAGAGGAGCACTTGATCCGGCGAGTGCCAGCTTGTCAGCATCTGGCTTCACCTTGTGGCACAGTCAGGCTAACCCTAAACCCTAAACCCTAAAGCAGAGCAAGGCCGAACCTGGCTGTCGAGATTCGACGTTTGCCGTTTCTGAGCCGAGGTTCGCCGTGTACCGCCCAACCTCCCGTGACGCGATTGCCAAGATGCTGAGCGGCGCGGCTGTGGGGGAGCCCGGAGTGCTGAATCAAGAGCAGCAGTGGGTTCAGTGGGTTCGGGAATGGAAGGCGCATCACCGCAGAAGACAGGTTAACAAACCGTCAGTCTCTGGCTTTCGTTGAAGTTTTTGAGCACAGGTTGGCAAGGGGCTGAACGTCAAAGGCAAGTCAGCCAAGATGCCGTTCCAGCCCGAGCTGCTTTCAACTCGGCTCCTCGCAGCCTTTCTTTGTCTCTTGGTACCCTGCGGCCCAGGAATCGACTTTCGGGATTCGTGCCCTTCCTGCAGATCAGCCAGGCGACCCCGGAAAAAGAGATACCTCAGACTGCCGCCTTTGCCGCCGCTTCAGCAGGAGAGCCACAAGTCCGAGATCGAAATGCCATGACCTTGTCCCAAGGAGCCCTGTTCCGGAAGATGACAGGACTAGGGACTTTCTCTCGTTTTAGGGATAGCTAGCAGAACTGGGAGTACTATGATTCAACAGCAGGTGTGAGTTCTGCATGAGGTCCCCAGCAGACGCCCGTGTTTGCATCTACTTTGCCTCGGAAATGCTGCGACAAAGTGTCCGGGACTTGGGCCGTGTTTTTTCCTGCGCTGCTGGTTGGGATGGGGTGGCATCGGCGTTTCGTGTCAATTGCCTTTCTGTCTGGGTGAAGGCATCATCCAACTTCTCCGGCTTAATGGCAAACGCCCTTTGACAGTCGACCCTGTGGCCTCGAAAACTGCAGCACCCATCACGGCCAGCGCAGGTCCCAGGCGACGTAGACATAGCACATCTCTAATCACAACAACATGGGGCATCGACAAGCACCAAAGCAACATGCGGTCATGATCGTCGGAAGCAAGGAGTCACAAGACCAAGACCGGGGTTAGCCCAGCTATGCTGAATCGTAGCTTGAAGCCCTGAGCCTGCAACCCCCAAACCCCCAAAGCCAAAGCCCAAACCTTTCGAGCCTGAAGTGATCACTTTGAGAGGCCATGGTTCAGCTGCAAGCGCTCCTGGAGACGAGCTCGCCAATTCAGGACAGCGAATGAACCGAGACCCCAAACTCGAAACCTAAACCTTGCTGGGCCGAAGCCCAAATCCGCCCGAGCCCAAAACCTTCACCCCTAACCCCAAGCCTATGCCGTCGTCCCACGTTGACATCCTGAGTCGGCTTGCCACACAGAGTATGCCTTGCATCAGGAGCCCAGTCTTACCTCCGCATCCCGCCGTGTAGCAACATCGGTTCTCGATGGTTGATTCGTGGCGAACACTGAGTACTGCGTCAACCACACTCTGACGTACGTTTCGAGTGGTGCATTCCCGCGTCAAACCGTGCTCGAGTTTGTCGTCCACCCCCAAAATACGAGAGTGAGGGCCGAAACCTATACCCATCGATACCCCTAAACCCCGAAACACCCTAAACCCCTTCCCGCGCCCTAAAGAACCTAGCACAACCTACCTTTTTAGGGTTCCTTACTATGATTTCCCTATATAGGGCCTTAAGGTAGGTTTTGGGAAATTCTCTTTGACGACGCTCAGCCGAGCACCTCTGACTTTCCAGGAGCCGGAGATTCGGCTCTTGGACCACTATGAATCGGTGCCCGGCCTGGATGTGTCCGGCAGCCCACTACCTTTTGCCGGCTGTTCCAAACAGGAATCATGTCGCATTCCTGTTGTTATCGTCTTACATAACCCAAGGGGTCTGTTGAGGATATCTGTTTTTGGGTGGGAGGACGGGCCTGGTAGACTCATTCTGAAGCAGCATGGGGATAGTTCTCCAAAGTTAGCCGTCCCTTTGAAGAGTGATGTTTCCTTCGGAGTGGGATCGAGGATGGGACCTTGATTTAGTGAACCACTGATGTGACGATGAACGCAATACTTCCTCAACCTCCGTTGTTTGCGGAGTCTTGGGTGCACTCTCCACCTTGTCCTGAACGGACAAGGCATGCTATTAGCAGAACCTTGTCGTCTGCGTCCTTATAATCAGGAGCCTATCATTGAAGGTCTGGCTGGCGTCCCTGTCTTTCTGAAACTCCGCACTTTAAGTTTCGAAGATGATGAAACAACTCTCTGAAGCGAGTGAAACTGTGTGCATGCGCGAAGCACCGAAAATCTGGCACACGTCACCGAGGCCCAGTTGCACGCGAAAGAAGCTCCCCGCCCAACATGAGGAGATCCTTCTAAGCGATCTTCATTGGTGAGTTCGTCTACATATGTTCCTGGAATGTCTCTGAACCCTCGTAAACTCCGACAACGTAGTCTCCGTGGCTCAAGTCTGCCAAGCTGCTCAAACCTCAGATCAGGTTGTGCGGTCTGTGCGTAAGCGCGCAGGCCGTCTACATGTTCGAGTTTCAACGATGCGCTTCGCTTTCTTCGTCGCTTTGATGTGCGGAGGGTCTGTGGAGAGTGCTCGACTCGCTCTTCAGCAGCAGATGTCTGCAGCCGGGGCTCTTAAATACACTGATGTGTGTTGCTGTAAGCGCCACAAGAAAATCCATAAGACCTTCCGGAAAGCTGGGAAGACCGTCAACGTGAAGCACTCGGATTGCCAGATGTTGAAGCAGATGAGGCCGGATCGTCCCTTCTGGTGGTACTGGGGATCCAAGGAATCTGAGGCGCGGTGCTGCTGGACGAGCCCATACTTCTGCACGCCTACTATCGGATTTCTCATGATCAATAACGATGGCGGAAGACGGATCGAGGACAAAGACCGCGAAGGGCTTTGTCCGGCTACAGATCCCAGGGGAGATGTGGATCCCGTCGACAAGACTTTCGCCTATAACCGGATTATAAACCACTTGACAACCGATATCCGTGATGCGTTGATACTGAAGGTAGTGGGGATGGCGGTGGGAGTTGCAGCCGTACACGGCGGACCTGCTGCACAACATGCTCAAGCTTATAAAAGTGCAGGCACACTCAAGAGAGCTGCCGAAGGTGCCTTGGGCAAGGCCTTTGACGGCGCTGTGCGCCACCGATTTGTGTCCGAATCCAATCCGCCGATAGTGGCCCCCACGGAATGGTTTCGCTACGGCGGTGACAGGCCCCTCGAGGTCGCAAAATCTGTGCACGTCTTCAACCACGGGAAGGAGTTTCCCAATGTGAAGGACTGGTTTCACAACGAAGTACGAGAAGATGGCCACGCGATTGTCGTCTTCCAGGACCCCAGCACCTACGTGCCACCGACTAGGAGGACACTGGCTCTGATGAATACTTCTGCCCGGGAGTTTTGCGGGCAGGATTCTCAGCAATTTGCGACCGTCTGTCTTGAGATGAATGCAACCGGCGAGGTTCGATCCCTGAAAGTCATATATATATATATATATATAGCTCTCTAACCAACTATAATATAGTGTGGTTCGATGTCGATCTTAAGAAGGAGCTGAACGTCACAAGCGAGGCGGAGGGCTCCTGATCCTTTCCTCAAGTCTTGGGCTCTCTCTCCGGTCGGGGACAAGTGAGACCGAGAAGTCCCGCGTCAGCTGATTCTTTCACTGTTCGGACATGGGAGTTTCCGAAAATTAGGGGGGGGTACCTTATTGGGGGTCCTTATAATAGGGATCCTACTATTTAGGGTACTATATCAGGGTCCCCTATTTTCGGAAACCCCCACATGCTGCTTGGGAAAGTTCCCGTGCGAGTGTTGCTGAGATCGGTTTGCTGGCTGTGGGGTTTCTGCTCCCGAGCTCACGTTCTCGCTGACGAGGCCGATGAGCATGTGGGTAGTTCTCTAAATTAGGACTCCTTTTAGGTCCCCAATATAGTACGGCACCCTTAAAAAAGGGACCCCAAAAGGGACCCCAATTTAGAGAACAGCCCATGTCTCTCCTAGAGTGCTGGAACTCTGAACGCCTAAAAGCGCCTTAAGCTCAAGAGCCTTCACATGAAACGCGGAAGCCGCGGAGCGCCGTCAGCCCTAGGCCTGAGGCCGTAGTGCAGCAGGCCTTCATCCTCAAGCTCGGGCCTCAGACTCTGCAGTGTGGCGCTTGCGCCCCTGCCTTCGAGATGGGCACCATGTGGGGGTTTCCGAAAATATAGGGAACCTTATATTGGGGTCCTTAGAATAAGGATCCTACTATTTAGGGTACTACATTAGGGTCCCCTATTTTGGGAAACCCCCATGTGAAGAATGCTGAAAGCTTCGCTTCTCGCGAGCAAACCAGGCCTGACATCCAGCCGGCCGTCGGATGGGAGACAGGCTGACAAAGTGACGTGCCTAAAGGATCATGGGACTTAGTAACTAAGGTTATTATTAGTTATAACTACTTATAACCCCAATTAAGGTACTTATAACCATACTTACTAAGTCCCATGATCCTCCAAGTAGACCCTAAACCCTAAACCCTAAACCGTGAGCATAGTTCTCTGCAATGCGAGAGGGAAAAAAACCGTAAACCCTAAACCACAACCCTTAACCATACTTACTAAGTCCCATGATCCTCCAAGTGAGCCTGGGAAAGCCGGAAGGGCTCTGGAATCTCAGAGGGTTCCGGGCCTTGAAGGATTGCAAACCACTGAGTCCCAAATCCTGCTTTTTTTAAGAAGTGCAGGGTGTAGGGTTTAGGGTTTAGGGTTTAGGGCTGTTTCATGCCTTTGAATTTAGTCCCTGTTCAGCGACGACGTACTGTTTCATAGCCCCAAACCCAGTCTACGTCATGAGGGTCCGATGCAGAGCCTATAAAATCTTATAGGAACCCCTATGCTAACCTTCCAAAAATCTTATGAGAGCCCCAGGCTAACTTATATCATCTTGCGAGAACCTGTGCTATGTGAAATCATATGAGAACCCTAAACTCACCCTATAACGTCTTGTAAGAACCCTATAGAACCTTCTACTTCTACTCAGCTTATAAGAAACGTCATGAGAGCCCCTATATGGGTGGTTGTCAAAATTATGGTCCCTTTCTGGGTCCTTAGTATAATACGGCACCTATTATTTAGGGTACCCCAAAAGGGACCATAATTTTGACAACTACCCAAAATGAAAGCGCCGCTTTCCCACACGGCGGGCAGGCCGCATTTCAGAGCCCGCTGTGGCCTCGGGATTCGGCTCGCAGAAGGGATCTTTCCCAGAGAGCCCAATACCCCCTAATTAAGGAATATACCTTAAATCACAATATGAAGCCCCTTATGATTTAAGGTATATTGCTTATTTAAGGGGTATTGGGCTCTCTCTGGGTTTCCAAGCAGCCCAAGTTGCGCCTTCGTTTAGATTCCGTTGAGAGTTCGCTTAAGGCCTGTATAGGCTTTAAGGGTTCCTGAAAGGGCTTTATGGGTTCCTTTGCACTTCCTTTGAGGTTTTTTTAAAGGCTTTATGGATCCTGCAGGGTTTACGGCTTATGGCTTGGGGTATAACACCCATTCCCAGATTTTAGGGTCTAGGTTTTGAAGTCACCCGAAGAAGCCATCACTGTTTCGAGCCACCAGGAGACATGCAGCAAACAGAATCGGGGCAGAGAGCACCAAGAAGCGACATGTTGCAAGCAGGCTAGTGGCAACGAGCACTTCGAAACGACGTGATATAAACAGGACGGGAGCAGACAGGATAGGGGCAGAGAGCACCACCAAGCGACGTGCCGCCTTAGGCCCTAACTTCCTTGACACCCCCCCAAAACCCCTCTGCAAGAGTCGAAGCTTTCTACTTACGAAGCCTTGAGGCTTCTGGGTTCTTGTTAAGGGATTTAATTTAAGTTACCATAATAAGGAAACCATATTATTTACTATAGATCCCTATTATGGCAACTTAAATTAAATCCCTTAACAAGAACCCAGTTTCTACTTTACGAAGCCTTGAGGCGTTCATGGACATGAACCTCCAGGGAAAAGAAAAAGAAAAAAAATCCTTTTTTTTTTTCGAAGCCTTGAGGCCTTCATGGACATGAACCCTTTTTGGGTTTAGGGTTTAGGGTTTAGGGCTTTCTACTTACGAAGCCCTTGAGGCCGTCATGGACACAAATCCCTTAACAAGAACCCAGGCTTTCATGGACCTACTTACCTACCTACCTTGAGGCTTTCATGGACATGAACCTCCAGGCTCTGCGAGGCACCTCGCGGCCGAAGGTGGTCCTCTACCAATTCGACCAGGAGCGGCGGGGCCTCCAGAGCTTAGGGCTGAGGGACCATTGTAGTTCCTTTTTGGGGATGCCTTATAAAATCCGTAAAAGCACATAAGCATAAGCATCTTATAGGGATATCCCTACGTTATTGGGCTTCAGTATAAGGGGATTTATATGGGATATCCGCATCCTAATTTTTGCTTATGTGCTTTTTGGGGGCCCTACTATAGTTAAGGGACCATAAGAGGGACCCCTGGACAGGACCGCTAGTCCAAAGACCTATATAATCCCTATAGTAGTCTCATAAAGCCCCACTCCAACCCCAAGGGTCCCTTTAAGGGTCCCTCCTTTAGTCCCTTGGTCTAAGCACGTAGAGTCACGTTTCAAGGGCTCTCACAGCAGTGTCTGCAGGATAACCCAATGAACCCACATGGCCTACTCATCGCCTATGCGGAGAACACGGTGAAGCCGGCGGATGCCTCAGGGGATATGAAGCATGCCCTCATCATTCAAACGAAGCATCTGGTACTGAACAGCCAGTTTGCAATGAGGTTGTGTCGGACTTCGACACCTTCCTGGCACGGCACACAGGCTTTTGCAAGGCTGACAGTATTTGCCTGGTCGTGGCAGTACGGCTGTGTCGTAGAAGCCTGTCACCTTGATGACGCTGGCGCAGAACCACGCAGGCTTTGTAGCTTGACGCTGTCACGACGACGACATACACAAGCTATGCGCGCAAGCACTCTTCCTCTCGCTCTCCTTGTGGGTTCTGCATATGCACCCGCAGGCACAGATGTATGCAGATGCACAGGCAGTCCTTCACACAAGCACGTCTGTGCGATTTCCTTTCTCTCTCTCTCTCTCTTGTTTGTCTCTCGCGCTCTCTCAAAAGATCCTCCTATTTTTGTTCCCATAGTTGGTTCTTCGTGTTAGCCGATGCATGTATTGACTTATTCGTGAGTCCCCATGCCTTCGTCGCATTTTTTGCTCAGCTGAGTCTACAGTCGGAGTTCGTGGCACTGCATAATTAGCCTCATAGTTGCATGTAGGGCCCTGTAAGCTGGTTAGTTCGTTGAGCACAGGAGCAGCACCCCGTAGCCGTAGCCGCCGAAGCAGTGCCATGGCACAGGCGGTGCTGCAGGATGACCCCGTCGTAGATCTGAAAGAGCGGCAGATGTCCAGTGCCGTGAATGCGCAGAAAAAGGTGGAGGAAGAGGCTCTGACCCGCCAGCAAATACAGGACTTCTTGATCTCCGAGCGCGCCCGGGTCCGCTTCTGTGGCACTTTGCCTTTGACCGTTTGCATCTGGATAGTCTTCACGGCCACGGCATGGTCGCATGGCAACGTCGAGCAGACGGCCCGAGCCCAAAGCATGATCCGCAATGCGATCGAGGGGCTCGAGGTGCAGCACCAGATCTCGTCGCTGCAGGGCCAGCCAGTTGCAAAGAGGATTCGACTCGCGAACATCAGCGTGATGGAGGAGGTATGGACCTGGATGCTCGACGGGTTCATTCCGCTCTTCGCAGGCAGCCACGAGGAGCCAGGTGTCCTGCGAAAGTTCAACCAGGTGATCCGTCCGGGCATCCAGCTGCGGCAACGACGAGTAGCAGATGTGGACTGTCCGGTGGTGGATGAGCTTCGCCAGTACTTCAGGGCCGATTGCCGGTCCACGGGTTCCTTGGCGCTTCGCTTCGGCCCCGAGGTGAACAACAGTGGCCCCGACTTCATCGACCGTTCCTTCGTTGCCGGAGGGGGCATCCAGGTGGCCGTGCCGACATGGAAGCCTGATCCGGAGGAGCTGTTTTATGCTTTTCTTCGGATCCACCGCGTGGAATCCAACAACAGCATGATGGATATCCACGGCATTCTACGAGCCCGGGAGTTGTGGTCCCACGGATGGCTGGACGATGCCACGGACTACTTGCAGGTGTCCGTCACGGTTCTCAATCCGGACATCAGAAGCTTCATTCATGTGCAGTTGACCATCAACTTCGTTCGCGGTGGCCTGGTGCAGCCCTTGCTGGAAGTTAGGTCATTGCCGACGCAAGTTTGGCTTTCTGCGCTGGAGATCGTCGTGGACGTGATCTGGGGCCTGCTCATCGTGCTGCTCTTCATCCTGGCATTCCAAGAAATGGCAGAAGGCTCGGGTAGCTGCTCTCACCGCTGTTGTGGCAGCTTCTGGCTGCTGGTGGACTGGGCCAGCATGCTCGTTGGCTCCACGCTCCTCGGCTTCTTCTTTGTCTACAATGCCGGGATGGACGGCTTAGACCAGCACATTGCCAACCTGCCGGTGGCCTTGTCCCAGTACGTCCCGACCACGACCCTGATCCCCATCGATCCAACGCTTCTGGCGGAGCGAAAGTATGCCGAGGAGGTGACGGAGGAGGGATGGCAGGCTCAGTTCCAGGAGGACCTGGACTTGATGATCTTCTTGCGCGTCTACCATCGGCTTGGCATGTTCTGGTATGTGGCGCTCATCCTCCTGCGCTTCTTCCGGGGCTTTGCGGGGCAGCCGCGCATTGCCATGATCGGGAGAACGATTGGCCAAGCGGCTTCCGATCTCGGGCACCTGGGACTCATGGTTGCCGTCGCTTTCTGCAACCTTGCCTTAGGAGGCTACTTGGTCTTCGGCCCTGAGCTTGAGGCCTGGTCTTCCATTGAGAAGGCGATCATGACCACGATCTCCATCCTCTTCGGCCAGGGCGATCTGGGAGCAATGTACAAGATCGCTCCCATCTCGACTCTGCTCTGGGGATCGGCCTACTTGATCTGCATCATCATCTTGATGATGAGCATGATCTCAGCCATCCTGATCTCGCACCACCGCGAGGTGCGCAAGAAGCGTGGGAGGGCACAGCAAACGCTTCCGCAACAGTTCCTAGCCATGCTGGAGGACTTCGTGTGGAAGCGGAGCTACGACCTGCGCATGCTGCTGCGCTTCATCAAGTCCAGATCTGGGCCCCGAAGCAAAATCCTGCGGGTACTGCCGGCCTTGAAGCCTGAGACAAAGCGCATCGCTCGGATCCCGTACGATGATCTCATTGACTTCTTCGACTCTTCAGATGACACGCAGCCAGCTCTCCCCAGCTGGGCCCCCGTGAAGAAGGAGGACTTCTACCGCTTCGGCGTAGACTCCGCCACCACAGCGCGCATCATGAAGAAATGTCGCGTCGCCACTTCGGCTAATCCTGACCAGGAGATGCCTGTGATGCGCCTCTTCGAGGAGTTTCAAACCTCGATCCAAGACACTTGCGCCGTCTTGGACTTTACCGGCGAAGAGCTCAAGAGCTGGGTGGCCGAGCGGCGTGTGGACATGGCCAACGTCGAGCCGAGGCAGCGGAAGCTGGAGGGGCTCTCGCGCGCCCTGGATCCCGCCGAGCCTGTCTTTGCCTTGGAGACACATTACGAGGAAGAAGAGACCCCTGCATTGGAAGAGGGCCCCGGAAATGGCCAAGCCATCGCCGACGTGAGCCCACATGCAGCGCTTGAGAATGGGCCCTCAGCGACATGACAGTGACAAAGTTCATGGAACTTTATGGTGTCTTGGTTAGAAGATTGTCCTTGGATGTTGCTGAACTTCGTCTCTGCATCTGTAGCTAGCTCATGCCACTGTTTCACGATGTTTCACTATGTCTCACTAGAAACAGGGTTTGGACGGCCGAGACACCCGTTCAACTGGGCAAAACAAGCGTGAGAATGCGAGAAGTCTTGGACCAGTGCAGACAGTGCAGAGGTCGCTCTGACTGCTTGGAGGATCATGGGACTTAGTAACTAGGGTTACAAATAAGGTAACTATAATTATAACCCCGATTAGGGTACTTATAACCTTACTTACTAAGTCCCATGATCCTCCAAGTGGTTGTGGCTCTTTCAGCTTGTGGCGTGACGCCTCTGAGGTTGGAAGCCGTGGCATGGACTACGAGCACCTGCCGCCGGAGCAAACGGAGCTTTGTCTCTGGGCCTGGCTGCTCAAGGGGTGACAGAGAAATCATTGATACCACGAAAAAAAACTGGGAGTTTCCGAAAATAAGGGGTAGCCAAGAATCACAGTCACGCATCGGCCCTTTAAAAAGAGAAAGATGGTCAGATGAAAAGGTAGATAGATGCGCGAATTGCTTACTTGCTTGCATACCTACATGCAGACCTACATACATACATCTATACATATCCGTCCATCAATCCACCCATGCATATCATGCTGGCGAGATAGGTCGGCCCATGTATTGATGCAAGTTAGATGCGTTGACTTGTGATTTCTATCAACTCACAAATATATTTCCGCCTGTCCTGTAAGCGGGTGCATGGGTGCAGCAGATGCCTAGCCACAGAGATCTTGGCACCTTGAGACTGCAAGCTGAACTGTCAACCCCCCTACAATTCTATACCCTACCCTACCGCAAGGCCCCCCCCCCATAGGCCCCGGGCCTTATTCCATGAGGCCTTGGACCACACTGAGAAAATTCTCCGGTCGCCCTCCACCTCCTCCTGGACATCGTGGGCACCTGAGCCTTCGGTAAGCGAGATCTAGCCAGTCGTCATAATCCCTAGCGCGGGGCGCAGAAAGACTAAGCGAAAGACTCCCTCAGAGTCGTGATGCAGTTGCTCGGTAATGTAACCCGAAATCCTAGCCCAGTGATGCAAGCCCCCCAAGTTTGAGTTTGAGTCGTTCTGTGTCATAACTGGAGCTTCCACACATGCCGAGGGCTCCGCCTAGCTGCCATGTACAAGCAGCTGCTGTTCACCCTTAATTTAAGGATTTTAAGGTGTGCGCGGACACCCTAAACCCTAAACCAGAAACCCCTAAACCCTAAACCCTAAACCCTGAGCTTTGGACGATCGTGAATATGCCCCCCTGTCAACATGGCTCAGCATGTCCACGTAGCAACTTCGGACACGTATTGCCATGCCTGCTTTGCGAGTGTGTGAGTCGAAACCCTGAGCCCTAAACCCCAAACCCTAAACCCAAAGAAGGCAGCGTGTGGCTCTCCTTGCGACCTCCGAGGCGATGGTTGGAAGTCTTGAAAGAAGCACACGACAAAGGCAGGGCTTGCGGCTTGTGACTGGGGATGTACTTGGAGGATCATGGGACTTAGTAAGTAAGGTTATAAGTACCCTAAATTGGGGTTATAATTATAGTTACCTTATTTGTAACCCTAGTTACTAAGGCCCATGTGACTGGGGATGTGGGAGTTTCCGAAAATAAGGGGTACCTTAGTTTGGGGTTTCTTATAGTAAGGATCCCATTACTTAGGGTGCTATATTAGGATCCCCTATTTTCGGAAACCCCCATGTGTCTCTACCACCAACAGACACATCGGGTGCTTCTCGAAATGCTTTGAAGGGTTGGGTCAGAGACTTCCGCGCGGCCTTGAGTCTCCGGGCATCACCAAGCCCATTCCGCAGAGACAGACCCAGAGACTCCAATATCCCTTAATTAAGGGATATACCTTAAATCATATTAAGGATCCTACTATAATTTAAGGAATATTCCTTAATTAAGGGTTTTTGGAGTCTCTGGGGACGGTGAGCGTGATCAGGTGCAGTCCTTTCTGCAGAGAGTTTGCGCACATCTGATGCCGGCGAGGCTTCCACCCGCACATTCCGGAGTTTGGATTTGGCGCCATCGCCTCGGTCGACGCATCAGTGTTGCAGTCCCTCTCCCACACGTGACCTTGGAAGAAACATGTTGGAAGCCAAAGAACAGATGCTTCTCCAAATCCTCTGGCGCTCAGCCATGCTGGCTCAGCTGTCGCAGCGAGCGTGACAAAAAACGAAACGCATGAGAGAGTAGGTAACCCTTCACCTTCTTGGAGTGCGAAGATATTCCCTATATAACCCCTTAGTTCCCCCATGGTCCTGGACAAGTAGGATGAAAAGCCGGAAGTTGGAAGAGCCAGACTGTGTTCCAGGTCTGTGAAGCCACAAAGATCAGAAGAAGGGTTTAGGGTTTAGGGTTTAGGGCGTCGTGTGAGTATGACATGCGCGGTCATGGCCTTCGGAAATGCAGCTGTCAGAGCATCGTCCATAAACCCTACAGGCCCTTAGGCCATAAAGGGCCCTATGAATCGGAAGTGAGAGCACAGAGCACTCTAACTCCCCTGACCCTAAACCCTGATAGTTCCCACGATGCCGGCTCGACGAGCGGCGTCCTCGGGCTGCCAAAGCGTGGTCGCTGTGGTTCTGGGCGTTGCCTTCGTGGCCGTCCCCGGCCTGTGGCCTGTCATAGGTAGTATTATTACGGTTTAGGGTTTAGGGTTTAGGGTTTAGGGTAACTGAACCCTACTTTTGGCTCTCTTATCCCCAAGGGTCCCCCTAATCCTAACTCCCATGTCAGAGGTTCAGGGCCTTTTAGGGATGTAGGGGCCTGTTTAGGGAGTAGGACCAGTAGGATTAATTCGGGTTCTCTTTGTTCTGCATGGCAAAGAGACGACTGATATGAGCATTGCTGGAGGTATTTCGAGTTTTACCTCACCGGCGGCTACAAAGAGAGCCCTGGCACTGGACCACTGGGCCGCGAGGTCATCCAGGCGGCCGTGAAGCAGGCCCCGCCCCCAGACTTTTGCAATCAGTTGTAATAGATATTGACCCGGAATGTAATATTTAATGTAGGGGCCTAAATTATTTCCTATATTTTTTTTGGGGGGGGTCCTTATAATGACTACAGTATACTATACTCCGAAACCCTATATTACCATTATGGGGACCATTACGAGCAACCGGGCTGCAGGCTTTTGTGCACGTCCTTTTTTTGTACGTTCGGGCCCAGTGGGAGTTTCGAAAATAAGGGGTACCTTATTTTGGGGTCCTTATAATAAGGATCCTATTATTTAGGGTACTATATAACCGGGTCCCCTATTTTCGGAAGCTCCCAGTCGGGAGGGAGGGGATATGTTGCAAAATGCAGAGGAGCAAGCAAGTCGAAAACTTAGGAAACAGGAGCACACTGCTTGTTCGGGGCTGAAGACTTTGAGACAACTTGACAGTTAATTAGGAGACTCGTAAAGCGGAGCAGACCAGCTCAAAGGAATTAGGCCAATTGAGAAACAAGAGCAGACGGCTCCATGCGGGAATTCGGCAAAATGGAGAAGTCCAGAAACATAATGTCAGGAGCCGTGCTGTCGGGGCTCAATAAAAGATGGGTTCCTATCTCTCGGCAATCAACATAGCAACAGAAATGCAATTTAGAACATGAGTGAACGCACATAGCATCACGTGTAGTACGAACATGAGCAGCAGAGTTCTTGCAGTAAAACTAGTGCCGGTAGCAACACCACATCAACAAAAGAAGAAGAATAGTAAGAGGAATGATAACTAGTAATAAGAATGTTAACAATACTAGTTTGAAGAAGAACAAGGACCATAGCATCTCAGGTGGACCTAGCGACCTCGAAGGCCTCCCGGAGCGCAGCAGAAAGGACCAGATGAAATGGGCGTATGCTTTCATCGCAGCTTTCATCTCTTGAGGAAGCTGCATTTCGGGTTTCGATGTGGGGTTTTTAGGGTTTAGGGCTTCTGGCTGCTACATCAAGTGAATATGGCAGATTTTCCACTCGTGTGCTTGTCGACATGGATAGGGCTAGAAACATGCTCAGCGCTGGGCTGTGGACCTCTGGTTTGACTTGCAGGACGGAGCCCTTGGTTGAAATACCTTCGGTCGACATCCCGAGCGAGCTCAGCGTGGCGCAGCCAATCAAGGCCTTGGGGAGATCTCACAGGTAGTCAGCTTGCAGCCTCCAGCGAGTCTCCAGGCAAGATGAAGGTGCAGCTACTCAGGCTCTCGCCGAAGCGCCGCCAGCACCACCGCCGGCGCCGCCGCCGGCGCCGCCGCCAGCGCCACCACCAGCGCCGCCACCAGCGCCGCCGCCGGCACTGAATCTGCCTGAGGCAGCTGAGCCTGTTCCGGATCCTTCTGCACAGGCGGGGCCATGCTTTGCGACACACAACAGACAGCGCGGTGCCAACGAAATCTCAAGGCCACTGGCGCTTACGTGGAGCAGCTCTTCGCAAAGAACCGAGTCACTCGGATTCGCTCCCCCGATTTCTTGCCTTATATTTTTGTGAGCAAAGTGTGCCGCCTCTGACCTAGGGAACAGAAACTGTGGGTGGTGGGCAGGGCAAGAGTGTTTAAGTTGCTCCAACCCACCCAGCAGGTTGGGTATGCCTGCTGCCCACGCTCTGTGTGCACACACATGCAACATGCGCCCGGTGGGATGAAGCCACTTCGGACCTTCTGTGTGGCAATGTTCCCAGTCATAAACGATGCCGGGGGAAGCAGCACACGTTCGAAATTGCATGTTGTTTTTTGTAGTGCTTGTCGGGCAGCACAGTCCCTTCGATTGGCTGTTTTCGGTTCGTCTTGTGTTTCGAAGCCCCTATGTTTTGTAGAGTCCTGCTTTGTTCGGACCTTGGAACGCTTGTAATACTGTAATGTATGTTGTGTCAGAGTCTTTTGGATTCTGGATTTCCCTTCGGTTTGGTTGGCTTGAATTTTCCAACCGCTAGAATGTACAGCTTGTCTCGCATCAAGCAAGTGTTGTGTTACAGAAACGCTTAATGCAGCGTTTTGCATCCTCTGATTTCTCGATCACACGAATCCCATCTTCTTCATATAGATGTCATCAAGGCTTTGCACACCCCATGTTTTAGTTCGACATGCCCCTGCCGGCCATTCCAGAGACTCTAGGATGCTTTTGCTACAGGTCGTCTGTCGTAAGATGTGGAAATCCCTTGAACCAAACCTTAGCACTTCGGATCCTCAACCCAAGTTGTTGTTTTGGCATGCTCATGTTGGTGGAGTGCATGGAACTAGCCGAGGAGTGTGCTGACCAGGCGATGGAGATAGGCAACCTTCCGACCGTACAGGCCCACTGGAGATGCCGAAACTCATGGTCATTGCTATCTATACATGTAAAATATTGTATAGTGTGTATATGTGTATATATATATATAGATATATATATATATATAGATATAGATATATATAGATATACGCAGTTACACTGTGCCATGGTAGTAAGAATGTAGGATATATGCTCGCGCATGAAAGAAGAGCCAAGTAAACTTGGCAGGCGGCTTCCGAGCTACACACGAGTAGTACAGAGCCACACAAAAGAGGTTCAAGCCAAGTCTTGCTATTTTGGTCGGTATGGCAACTTATTGAGTCTCCTTAGAGGCATATTACACGTTTCCTCGCAAAGCTAGAGGCTCCACCTTTTTTGGTAGAGCGAGTACCTCGACGGAAGAAGGCTGAAAGAAGGGTAGACGAGTCTATTTCATCAGTGACGCAGCCCAGAGCCCATGGCCGCAGAGCATGAGCATCATCGGCACCCTGCCAGCCAAACCCTACCTTGGCAGCAGTCTTGTTCTCCACTGCTCGAAATTTATGACCCTAAACCCTAAACCCTACTAGTTGGGAGCCAGCGCTGGCGGACAAGAGTCGAACCCAACCTTAAAAAAAAAACCCTAAACCCTATCATACAGCTTAGGCTGCCGGCGATCCTGTCAAATTCACAGATCTGAGTTCTTCCCCCTACTGTCCCTTCTGCTTCTTGTGCTCAAAACGAGCAAAGGCCGCTCCTCCATGGATCGGCCGTGAGTAAAATGAGTAGATATGGGACTTTCCGAAGATTAGGAGTTAGGGGTACCTTATTATTTGGGGTTTCTTTTAATAAGGGACCTATTATATAGGGTACTATATTAGGGTCCCCTATTTTTGGAAACCCCCATAGTCGCAGACGTCGCTGGAAGTGTCTCTCGTTGTCTGCAGGCGTGTGACGAAGTGGTGTCTCGGCGAGGAGCTACAGAAATCTCATCCCACTGTTCGTTACGAGCTGAGTCAGTGGCGCAACTAAGGTTGCGACAAAGCTCGAGTGTGGCCGCTACTTCATGATCCTCGGACTACCCCTTTGGAGCACAATTCACCCCTCCTGAAGCCTTTCTCCGAACATGCGCGCCTCTGTGCAAGCCCAGGTTCAGCCACGCACATCCAGACTGGATTTGCCGCTGCTGCTCTGTCCACGGTGAGGAAACAGCCGTTGAGGGTCTCGAACCCTAAACCCTAAACCCTTAACCCTAAACCCCTAAAGTTAAAGGTGTGCTTGGCAGAGCTGGGTCCGGGAAGTCCGCAACTGCTCTCTGTCCCTGGCAGGAGGAAGGTCCGGCCTCAGATCAGTGGAGCGCTCCTGGGACTCAGCTGGTGCAGAGAGGGAAGGCATACATGGGCAGTTGTCAAAATTATGGTCCCTTTTGGGGTACCCTAAAAAGTAGGTGCCGTATTCCAATAAGGACCCAAAAAGGGACCATAATTTTGACAACCACCCGCATGCTACCATCGTGGCGCCCGGAAATCTGAAACCCTTGGCAGGCAAAACGATCCGAAAGAGCAGAGGGAGTTTCGGTGACATGCTCCGTAGGCCATGAAGCCAGGAAAGGCAGAGCCACTGCCAAACGAAAGAACAAACCTCCTGGTATATGAGCTCCATATTCTTGTTGGCTGGGGCCTTGCCTGCCTCGAGCGAGCGTGGGTCGAAACCCGATATAGTTAACAGCCTCAGCCATCAAGGCCTTCCAACCACCTGCAGACGGAAAAGAAGCGTCAAACAAAAGAATGCCCAGCACCCTAAGCACCCTCAACTAACTAAACCCCACACCCCCAACCCCTAAACCCCTTTTCTACTCTAAACCCCCAAACCCTAAACCCCTTCTCTACTCTAAGCCCCTGTATACCCAGAAAGCCCCCTAAACCCCTAAACCCAGAAAGCCCCAAGATACTCTAAATCTCTAAACCCGGAAAGCCGCAAGAAAAGCCAACCCCCAAGCACCCAGAAAGCCCCAATAAACTCTAAACCCCCAAACCCTAAACCCTTAAAAAGTCTAAACCACCTATATACCCCTAAAAAGCCCTCAAGAAAGAAGCCGAGGTCTTCAAGGCCCAGGTTCCCAGAGCGCCGGGCCTGCCCTTGGAGCCGCCCACGGCGCCCCCGGCGGATCCTTTCGCCGGGCTTCCCATCGCGCGCCCAAGCAGAAAGGATCTAGGGTTTAGGGTTTAGGGGTTGCAAGCCAGTTGCAAAAAAGGGGTTTAGGGTTTAGGAGTTTAGGGGTCCAAAATTCAGGGTGGTGGATTTAGATGGATGTAGGGTGTAAGGTGTTCCGAAAACAAATATAGTACTGTAGGTATGAGGATCCTCAATGGAATCTGAAAAAGGGACCATTAGGTACTACCCAGAGAGCCCAAAGCCCTTTAATTAATGAATATACCTTAAATCGTGTATATTTTGCTTGCAAGGACGACCCAGCGTGAAAAATCGCTGAGGCCAGGGCCAAGGCCTAAGTGGCTGGCGCGGAAAGATGCGTTGGCAGCTTGGCAGCCCAACTTCTTTACTGGCTTACTATAGGGAACTAACTAAAGAATTACCAATACTATTGTGGGAGTTCCGTATTATGATTGTAGTATAATGGGCCCCAAAACCTTATTCTCCAACATGCCACCCTCCGTCGGGAGTTTCCGAAAGTAAGGGGTACCTTATTTTGGGATCCTTATAATAAGGATCCTACTATTTAGGGTATATTTCTCGTAAGAGTTTGAAGTGGTCGCTGCCTCTAGTCTATTTGTTTTTTTTGGTTTCAGGGCTCCCAAGGTTTTTTCGTATGGGAGCGACTGCAGAAGCAAATCTTTGCACGAGCATGCCGAACTCACGCCCCGACTGTGGTGATGCAACCTCGATGTACTCATCTGCCACCGACGCGTCATTGCATCTTCCGAGGTCATCGATGCGAGACCAGAGGAACACGGCGGCATCGTCATCCTCCAGGCCAGGCCCAATGCAGCTTCGCGGAAATGGTAACACGGACTCTGACCTGCGCAGGGAGAGGCCGTGGCCGTGTTGTGATTTTTCTCTAATGAGTGGGCCGCGATGCTTTGCTGTGCGGGGGAGCTCGGGTGTGTTTTTGAAGGCAGTCCTGAGCGATTCGCATGCCACGTGGGGCAACAACAAGGACTGTACTGCTCTGGCCAAACAACCGGATCTCTTGCAGGCTGTCAGTGCCCTTGAAAGCAGTAGCAGACTCTGCGGTGTCTTGCGGCTCCATGTCGAACCCAACGGCCCGCCAACGGCAGTGTCAAATCCCTTCAACTGGCAGGTGAAGCCCGTAAGTAGTATGGTTCATAAGGACTCTTCGGCCGAAAGAATTCCAGAATCCCTCCTGAGTGGACCTCGCGTGCTCGGCCAGGATGCGCAACGTCTCGAAGACAGACCTGACTGGCTCCGAGCGATCTTGGCACCATGGTGTGCAAAAAGCATCGGTTCCAACGCTACCGAAGCAGCCGAACGGGATTCGATGGGGAGTAGACAAAACAAATCAAATCCTTGCAGGCGGCATGGGCTCGTGTGCTGCTTCGGCTTCCCTCGGTAGATGCACGAAATTTGGGCTTCCAATGGGAACTCACAGTGGTCAACTACGCACTATAACTGCATGTGCTTTTTCCTGCCGCTTCAGAGAGTTGGCTGTGCGATCTCGCCGAGGCCACGAATCGGGCCCACGCGAAGAAGCACGGCCACGCCATGGTGCTTCGCGCGGCCCGGCCTAAGAAGGTCAATCCATGATGAAAAATTCGGAACCCTTTCGCCAAAGAGCAGGCGCAAAAGGCAGTAATTGGTTCTAGACTTTCACACAAACCTTATCGATTCTTTGGAAGCACATGTGTCCCAAGCCAAGGCTCATCCGACCGAGCCGCAGCTCACAGCGTCTTGGCACACACTTCTGGGGCCATTCGCGGGGTAAGTTGTTGATCGGTGTCAGGATCTCTGGAGTTAACTGTGGTTTCTACATGCTTCTGGGGCTCAAGGTCCAAGAACCGAAACTGGACCACAGTGAGGATCCTAGTGTAATCTAGTGCAAAGCTTATCATACAGCATGGCCCGTTCATGCATGTTTTGCAGCGAGGATTGGATGATCAGCGACTGTGGCAAAAAGTCCCTGCGCGTTTGCGCAAAGGTCAATGAGAGAGAGAACCCTGGATGCACTCAGACTCACTTACATCTGCGCTGGAAATCAGACATTTCTTGTTTCACCTTTTGCATTAAGCCATTCGTCCATGGGGACTGCAGGTAGCCCAAGTTAAGCCAGTCGCTGAGGACGTACAACTGGGAGAAGCACTTGATGATGCAGGACTACCTTTTGAGTCCACAAGCTTTCACCCACGTGCCCCGGACCCGGAACCTTCTGAGACGCGGCAGGGAGTTTGGAACGAGAGCCGCAGAGGCGAAAGCCATGTCCCAACTGCAGGGCCTTCAGCGACCGTCTCGCCAGGTACTCATGCTGGACGCCGACGCTGCGCTGATCCAGCCGCAGCTTAACACCTTGCACCGCATCGCCGACATCTTGGACGCTGTGAAGACTACTTAGTCCAAGTGTTCCTGTGCTTGACATTGCAGAGATTGCTCTGGGGTTGCCCAGGGCTGGGCCGTAGTTTGTCAACCCAGTTCCTGCCCCTTCCGTTCAGAGACGGGGGTCACGCATATTGGCTGCTTTTTGTTGGGGGACGTCAGTGCTCTGGAACTGCAGGACCGGAAGGGCAAAGATCTCTTCCTGACCAACGAGGTGCCGGAAAAGCATATCATATCAGATGATGCCAACATCATGTCATACAGTATAGCGTCATAATATGAATAGAGCATAGTGCACTACACTATGCTATACTATACGTAGTTACAAGCTTCTTTGCCTTTGGGCAGGGCTTCCAGGGAATGAAATCAGCAGGACTGGTTGGACCAGAATGGCGAGGCGCGCATCAACGGCGGGTTGATGCTGGCGAAGAACACGCCGTTTACGCACCTTTGCAAGCAGTCTAGATGTCAGTGTCACGCTTCTTGCACATTTCTGGCGCACAAAGTCGGAGTTGAGCCGCGATGGCCCTGCGGATCTTTTCCCTTCCAAGGCAGAACTTGTTCCAAGACACCTTCGACGCCCACGTTGCAGGGTACAAGCTGCTGAAGAAGGTCGGTGGTGCCTTTCCGTTGCCAAGCTTCAGAGGATTCTCACCCGAGTCTTTAGGGAAGGAAATCCCTTTTGAATATCTATGAATACGAGTGCAAATCCAGAGGCCCGCATCGGCACGCCCGTGATCCGGTGCACCAGACGCTTGGTTAATCCACATTTTTCCGGTGGCTCGGTCAGGGTCGTCCTTGGGCAAAGATGCCACTTTGGGGACCCGCACTGACTGGTTGCAGGAGCATTTCGCTAACGTACTTAACTCTGCTTCGCGCTTACATTCCGGCCTCGGTGAATCTTGTGCATTTCACAGAGTGCTTTGAGCCTGCAGTGATTTGCATTGACGGGCTCGTGGAAGGGACGTTTGTTGAGTTCATCTTTCCAAAATCCGCGCTTGATCCTGCAAGGCAACGAGCAGATTTGTCTCAATGACCTGTACTATGGCGACACTCAGCATTTTACTTCAAAGGTGGCCGTCTGAGAACCCTGAAGTCACTGTGCTTTCAAGGTTGGAGGGCAGGCCGACGCATAGGAGGACCGGCATCCAAAGATATGCATCCGGTATCTCCGAGCTTTGATTTGAAGCGCGGCGAGTGCGAGTCAATGAACAGTACAGGCCCTGCAGGAAATTACCCTCAACCCAAAAAATCCAAAGCCCCGAAATCCCAAGCTCACCGCGCCCTACCGGCAGGTCATCATGGCCAGTGGGAAGAAGTACAACCGGGGAGCGGAGAGAGGCTGGAAAAAACTCAAGAAGCATCACAAGTGAACCTAAAGTCTCCCAAAACCCCGAGACACCTCAGACCCTAAGAAAAAAGGGTGGGTTGAGGGCTTAGGATGGTTTAGGGTGAGTTGCGAGAGTGCAAGAAACAGGGGGGGGGGGGGGGGGGGG